ACAGCCTGGTGGAAAATTAACAAAATTTTTTACGTAAATATGACACCTTGAAAATATACTCCAATATGGCATAACCCCGACTTTCTACTCCACAAAAAAATATTTTCTTTAAAGCATGGAAACTAAAGGGTATCACACATCTTGAGCACCTATTCCATAACAAAAGCTTTATCACTTTTCCACATCTTACTCACATGTATGATATACTGTAGGAGATGAGCAGTTTCTGTCACGCCCCGCTCCGTCCGCTCCCGATGTGTGCCACGCCCACCTCGTTACCTCGTGTGATTCCCTGATTGTTCTTACCTGTGATTCGTTACCCTTAGCCTGTGTCTTGTATTTAGTCCGTGTCTAAGTCAGTGTACCCCAGATCTGTCATTGTATTGTCCGTCGATGTCCGTCCGTGGTGAATTAAACCCAGTTTACCTGACTTCCTGGCTACGATCGCCTGCTTCCCTGCTCGCCTCCTTTGCCTGAACGTGACAGTTTCTTCATTACCTCCAACTTAAAGCAGCCCTGAAATCTAAGATCAGTCTGTCTAACAACAATCTACAGCCATCCCAATTAGTAGAAGAAATACTCAAAATAACAAATCAGAAAATTCATTGATTTCCATTCCAATCGAAGTCTGGGAAAAAGATTTGTCATTCACTCCTGATAATGAATTCTGGCTCCAAATCTGTAGGAACACCTTCACAATGACTAATAACACTAATCTTCAACTTATACAATATAAGGTGATCCACAGAGTACACATCATCCAGCACAAAATGCACAAGATGGGATTTATAGAGTAATATTTGTTCACACTGTACTTTAAAAACTGTAGATGACTATTTCCACTCCATCTGGTTGTGTCCCCCAACTCAACACTTTTGGCAAAAAGTCATCAACACAATGTCTTGTATTATGGATCGTAGCATTCCACTATCCCCATCCCTCTGTCTGCTTGGTGGCCACTCAACAATAAATCCACCAATCCCAAATTTCAGACCGCTACTCGTTGCCTTGGCAATTGCCAAAAAAACAATCCTGTTAAACTGGAAAACTAGAATCACACTAAACATCATGCAGTGGTCAAACCTCCTCAGAGAACACATATCAATGTAAAAAATAACATTACAGCATCAACTTCCACATTTCCAAGAAGTCTGGGGTTCTTTTAACACCCCTCTAGACTTGCCTGTGAAATAACTCTCAATAAACACATATATTACATTCCATTCCAACTTAAAACTATTAGCTAACTAATCTAATTAATTCCCAATATTCCCACACATCATCTATTTATTTTTTTATCTGATACAAATATACATACACCTTATTTCTGTCTATCTATTTGTCTGTCCGTCTGTCTGTCCATTTTTGTGTCTTTGTCATAAGTCCTGTCAAGTCTCTCTCTTCTCTCTCCCTTCCTGTTGTTGTTGTTTTTTATGTCTTGTCAAGAGTATGTGGGTGGGTGAGGTACAACTTCACTAAGGTTTTGTAACTGAAACTCTCATTAACAATAAAGTTGTCCTCCAAGAGGGGGGGTGGTGGCTGGGCAAAAAAAAATATATATAAATCAAATGACTTTCATTTACACAATGTGATACTCATAAGATGGGGAAGAGCATAGGGAGAGTTGGTGTACTGTTGTCTATCCTTTTAGTGACACCTCACCCAGAAGCACAGGCGATGGTCACATGGCACAGGATGAAGCCGTCAGATGTTCAGGTGATCCTCATCAAGCTAAAGGGCCCTATGAGGAGGACAAGGAGGACGAAAACAATTCACCTACATGTTTGCATTGATTGAGTGTTGTTTCCTGGAATTTATTGTAAGAGATATAAATGTCCCTTTCTCTAGGATGATAGCAAAGATTAATTGGCCTCCTTTGAGTGTCCTAGGATTGAATAGTGTAGAGGACACCAAGGAAGAAAAAATATACATGAAATTAGCTGTAATGTTCTATTACAAATGCCATGGTTTTTTTCTGACTTTGAGTCTTACTGATGAATTGCTGATATTTTGATTTTCCGGTGTCAATATAAATATGCAGTTTCTTTTGCTGCACCATATAGTCCATCCATCTTTGTGGACACCAGCATTTCATACATTGTCCAAAACACTGCTGTCTCTCTTTGGCTCTGATCCTAACACCAGCTCATGAGTTGGCCAGACACAAGGCTAAGTTTTATAGCTTTTTTGAAACTCTCCTTGTGAGATACTTGATTACATTGAGGACACTGCTCAGCCTTCCATCTCATAAAACCTGGGCATGGTGCATTTTCCTTATTTTTAATGCTGGATTAAGACCAGTATGTTTTCGTTCCAACTTGGCATCCATTTTGAGTTATTAATCCCCTTGTGTATTTTTTTTTCCATTATTCAAAGATGTTAATGTTCTTCAGCTCCCTCTCTTGTGAACCATCATTTTATCATACAAGACATTCCATTGAACTATGGATCCCTCTCTGTACACCATGTAGACTAAACTTGTGATCATTTTGGTTATGCACACTTATTTGTTATTAAATGTTTTGGACATATACTGTATAAAGGAACAGACTCCAGATTCTCTGCAGCCAGATACTGAATAAACGCTGGAAGATGAAGGAATAGATAGATATTTAAAGAATTTGTCAAGAAAACACCATTTTATAATTAGTTGTAAAAAAAAATCCTGTAAGATCTCTGTTGCATTTTCTTTAACAGATTTCATGCTTTTATCCCCAATACCTTGATTTTTATCAAAACCCATGTTATAATCTGTGACACTGCTGGAAAAGTAACTATACAGCATATGAGGTAAAAACTTCACTGAACTACATCATTAAAAATAAATACATTTTAAAGAACAGCCATACATATAGGTCTTGTGGAAAGTTTGTGTTCTCTCATTCTTGTATGGATTTTTGCGCAGGTGACATTTGACAGCTGTGTGCCCTTGACTGCTGCTGTCCTCAGATACTCCTTTTTCTGATATTCAGCTTTTATTTATTTCAGCTCATTTATTTCAAACTTTTTCGAAGACATGCAGAGGGTTCCTGCTTCTTTGTGAGATACCAGCACCTGCTTTTATGAGTCCATGGTGTCCAGGCTGCTTCTGCAGGACCATGGAGAAGTTACTCCTTCACTTTAGAATTGATCAAAGTCTCCTTGAGCATGATTACCCCTTAATGCTTAATAATCAGCATCATAAACTCTGTGTACTTCAGAATACCTGACCATTGCTTTGCAGCTAAGCTACAGTATGGATGCTCTTGTTTTTGTAGGCTATATTTTTAATCAATAATATGACTCAAGTAGATTAATAAGAAGATAATAATGGTCAAAACAAAAATAAACAATTGTTATAGCTGTTAAAAGACATCCAGCGGTGTGTTTGCCATTGGCCAATGAAGGCTGTTTGAGGGTGCAGACCACTAGCTTGAACAGCACGCCGCCCAGCTTGGGTTCATTCTGGATGTCTGCTGTCAACAGTCAAATTACGACATTTATAATTGCACTGTGCCTTTATTGGCTTGCCGAGAAGTGCACGCACCTCAGGGTAGCTGGTGTTTCCCCGGGGGATACTGCACAGATCAATGCCATGCTGTTCTAAGTTTCCTTTTCCCCTGTGCTATGCTGACCCTCTCAGCAGTATTAAAATCAGCCATCCGTTTTGAGTGTTTTCATGATTTTAATTAATCCCCAGACAGTGGAGTCAAATCTCACTAGTATTACTACTACTCTTATTAGTAAGAACTGCCTTGGTTGTGAAAAGCTACTCCTCACCATTTATATTTACATGCACAGTAAGTAGGACACACGTTGCAGGTTTGACATGGCAGGTGGAAAGTTGTAGACTTATTTTCTCTGCACCAACAAATGTCTCCTTTCACTGACTAATCTCCCACTGGCTCACTGTGCCTAACCTCAGGCATCACATTTTATCTCACCAGCCTGCTGCTTTCCAGAACCCTGCGCACGCACACACACACACACACACACATGCACACACACACACAGAACACACACAATCCTTCCCCTTCAGGCACACTAATGTGCTGTGACACAGGCCTGCAGCAGCCAGCTTGGGTATACCATGTCTTCTCATCAGTCTACCTATTATCACCTACACTTGCCCCCACCCCATACTGCTGAGATCTAACTGATCATGGAGGTACCTAAAGGTGTCCGTTATTCCACGGCTTGTTCAAAATGAGACTCACTCCTCGTCTTATGCTGAAGGAAAACACATCATTGTGATTTGGTATCTCTGATGTGCTTGGAAAAGGAAAACTAAATCAACCCAACCCCACAGTCCAGTCAAAACAAATCACACGCATGCTGCAACTGATGTAAAAACCTTTCTGAATGGGCCCTCTCAAGTCAGTAAGTAATGACAGAAATCTACTTTTAGCAAATCAGTAGATGCAAGGCAAGTGTTATAATTTTGCATGAAAAAATGAACAATACATGAAACTGACAGCTGGAGAAAATGGACCTTAATGAGCAGAAATGATGTACAGACAGGGACACAGTATAAGGAACAGGTACTGAGCTCCATGGGAACATCACATACCTATTGCTGCCCAGCTATGATGTGTCTGGGGCTGGCTAATGTAATGTGTCACCAGGGTTTGCAGCACATTGTCACCACCTTCTTCTGAGCCGTACAATGAAATAAACCAATCAGAGGAAGGGTCACACTGTGGCCCAGTGGGTGGCACAGCCTTACACCTTCAAGGTTGGGAGTTTGCGCTTCTCTCTATTCCGTATTTATATGTAGAATTTGTTCTTTCTGCATTATGCAGGCTTTCTCCTGCAGTCCAAAAACACAGTGAACACAGTGAAGTGGCATCTCTGCATTTCCCAGAGTGTGTCAGGATGTTTGTGCATGTGTCCTGTGATGGGCTGGTGTCCTGACCACTGAACAGATTGACAGAAGAGTTATTTCTGAATGGTTCATGTTTATTTTTGCCCCAGTTCACAACAATATTCTAGCTCTTTACACATGAATAATTCCAATGGTTTCCTAAAGCTAAATTATCTTTCTGGGGACATAGGTTTTATATTCTCTTTCCTCTTGCACCAAACGCTGGGAGTTCAGGGGAATGCTTGTATTTTAAAGAAAAACATACCCAATGTTAACCAAAGTTTGAAAAATTACTAAATATATCCACATATCATTGGATTAATTCCCCTGTAATTTAATACAGTCTCTTGACAATTGTAATATTTATGCTACTGGATCTAATGTGTGGTTGTCAGATAAATACAGTAGGCACCTCCCAAATCACACAGTAAAAAACATGGGGGGGGGGGACGCAGTGGATGGAAGATGGTTTCTGTACAACAGGAAGCTGAGTTCTCTTAATTTTTTTTTGTTTTTGTCAAGTCTCCAGTGAACAGAAAAGACCATGCCCCATTTGTCTTTTTATAAGAACATAAGAATCAATGTTAGCGGAATAGCTTGAGAAGTCAGCCCAGACTTCCTCAAAGAAACTCTGTGGGTAGCCACTTTTAGCTTTGGCACCAACCTCCATATTTATCACTTGCAAAATGTCATCCTGTTGTCTGGGACAGAAGACAACAGCTTGAAGGTGCTAACAGGTGGCTCAGTTTGAATCCTGCATCCCTGAAGAGGATGTTAAATTAATCTGCTCCATTCCCAACGTTAAAACCTATTCTTACTTCAAATTGTTTTTCTGTCATCTTCATTTGGTATTTCCTGGATGGGTGAGTCTGTGACGAGTCCCCAGGCCAAGAGTTTGCATGCCTGTCATTGATCCTCGTGCCCATGAAAGGCCTGCACATGCATGCTGCAAAGGGGCTGAATGGGGAAATTTAGGTGTGTTATCAATACCCAGTACCCTGAGTACCTAATTTGGCCATTTTATTTTGATGTTCTTTCGACATGCCTCACCCGTAAAAAATAGCTACTACAGATTTCTGACAGGGATCTCAGGAAGAAAGTCCTGCTTCACCTGCTGTTTAGAATGTCTTTGTGGGCTGTATCTGTACTGTGGAGACTTCTACTGTGTTTTCTTTCATTCACCAGTAAAATTATGCTGTGTAAATCTGATGGAGTTTGTGTATGTGTGAGTGTATGCATGTGTGTTACATTGTGATTGCTTGCATAGCTAATTTTACCCAGTGTGCAGCAGATGCAATTGCACCCCCTACTCCTCACATGAAAATGCTATTTGAACACATAAATTTCAATAAAATTATATTGTGTTATAAAATTATATTATGTTATAAAAGTACAGTATTTGAAAATGTGGCTTGTGTTAGTCATATCAATGCATAATAATAATTTATTGTAAATGCATTTGCTATTTCTTTTTTACAAATGTATTTATTTGGATGAATGACTGGTTGGGCTCTCTCACCTTGCACCTTCTGGGAGAGTCGCCTATGATTGCATGTGTGTGTACGAGTGTACAGCTGTGCATATGTGTGTGTACCCAAAATGCTACACCGCTTGTTCATGCTCCTCGTCTCCTGGAACAGTTTTGCTAAGAGGATCTCTGAGTGTCATCAATTCCTGTAACTTTAGAAAAATGTCACAGTCCTCTTGGAAACAATTTCTCTGCAAGAAAAAAAAAGATACAAAATGACAGAAATCATGACAAAAGCACAACTGACTGGGGGCAGACGAGAGTAAGAGATGCAACAGGAAAGTGGATAAATACAGGAACAGAGGGGGGTGCTGGACTGAGTAGTAGATGTACAGTATAGGCAACAAGAGGACAAATAAATAAATGCAGAGAAAGCAGTGAGGCAGTCAAGTAAGAGAAACATACATACATACAGCACTGTGCAGAAGTCATAGGCAGCCAAAGAAAATGATGTTTAAATGAGCTTCGTGTTGGTGTAACACTATGCTATTATGCCTAGCAAAGTGTGCTAACTTAGCCATTTCAAAACATCTGCTAACATCACCCCAGTATTTGCACCCATGTATTTTTTGGCTCAACCACTAACACACCTTGTATAGCTAATCTATAAAATATATATATTTTTTTTTTAATTAATCTAATTAATTAATTAAGGGAGCTGGTGGTGAAATTTAATAAATACACGAAATGGCTGAAGTGCTCCTGAAGAGAGTTTTGGGAACTGAAACAGTGTTCATCTAGCCATCCAACTAGATATCAGTAACTTTTTGGAGAATTGAAGTAATTCTTACAAATTTTTATTGTTATTCTTAATTTGCATATGTTCTAATGTTAAATTGTGTTTTTTATAAAAGTACACCTCCTACCTAAATAGCTTTAAACATTTCTATTGATTTCCTAAGACTTTTGCACAGTACTGTACATAGACATATATGTCAGGATCTCTCCTTGTCTTGCCCTGGTCCATGTGTTGTTTCTTCAGTTCCCATTTCCTGTCATTTCCCAGGTTTATTTTAGTTCCTAGTGTGTGGTCTTGTTGCCTGGGCTGCCGTGTAGCTCAATGGGCTGAGCCATGGCAACTAACCTGGGGAAATACAGGACATGGGATGACCAGTGACACCTGCTGGGCCAAATGGGGAAATGACAATGGACTGGGGCAGGACAGGAAACAATCCTGATACCTACTTGTGTGTGTGTGATATGTGATGTTTGGTCTGGACTCTTATTTTCTGGACCTGAACCATCCACCTCTGATGAATGATAATTTCTTGAAGAACAATAATTACACATTGGCGCCATTACAACAAGAAATAGCCGTGTGTATCACGTCACACAGCAAATGCATAATTGCGTACCATTTATGTGCATCCCTGTATACATGCATGTGCTCGATGCCGTGTGTGTTGTGACACATTACTTATGTGACCATCATCAAAATAATCTGTCACCAAGAATCGACAAATCCTGGCCGCTAAACACCCTGTCAGCAGTTTGTGGTTTTTCCCTTCTGGGATCATTCTCAGTAAGAACTCACCACAGCTGACCATAGCTGACTGTCATGATGATTTGACACTTGTCAAAGTCATTCAGATCGTTATCTCTGCCCATTTCATATAATGTAAACATGTTGTGAAAAGAACAGGAGGCAAAGTGGTCTTAAGACAGAGACACTCACAGAGAGAGAGAGGCGAAGCAGCCCTCCACCCGCTGGCTGCTGACTGACAGATGAGAGGAAGGAGCTCAGTGACTGCTCCGTCAGCCTGTTGCCTGAGAGCAGAAGGGGAGCAGGCACCCCCAGAGAAACATCACTCAGGGGCAAAGCTAGAGCACTGCCTGCCTGTGCACGCAGAAGTGGCTAAGGCTGAGCTAAGGCTGTGCTAAAGTTGTGTTAAGGCTGAGCTAAGGCTATGCTATTGGACTGATGTCCTGCTGAACTGTCATACTGAAGGCAATGACCTGAAAGGTTCAGGGATGTCAGGACATCGTTCCCCAGCACAATGACCTTCCCCTCACGGTATTGTACTTCTGTCTCCAGCACAGGGATTTCCGGCTCTGAGGTCTCGGCTACCTGAGGAAAACAGCTTCAGAAAATATAACAAAGGCCACAGCCCACTTCATACTGCTGTTATTCTACTGTTTTGGAGTTTTTGCGTGTTTGGAGGTTACATCATATGTCTGGCGGCTTACGTTATCTCATTCAAGGTTCTTGTGGTGTGTTTGAAGGTTACAGCATATGTTTGGAGACTTCTGGAGGTTTATGTTAGATGGCTTATGGATTACATCAGTTAATGTCATGATGTGAGGTTTATGGTGTATATTTGGAGGTTTATATATTTAGTACTGTAGGTGTACTTCACGATGCTGTTGCTGTAGCAGTTGAATTAAACTGCATGGAATGGAATATTAAAAAGGAAAATTGGTAACAGAATTTCATACACACAACCATGCAGGGGTGAAGGAATACGTGGAGCAGTAACATTGTACCTTACTCACAGGGATCACAGTCTTGTCCTGAGGATGAAACAAGACAGAAGCCTGTGTGACTACAGCAGATATACAGAAGTGTTTTCTACAGTTTGTAGTTAATATTTCATAAAGATGTGTAGAGATATGGTAGAATTTTTAGTTTCAGTTTCAGGTCTAGGCACACATTTTTATAGTTTACATTTCATTTAACAATGCTGCTCCATGATTCTGGCCTGAAATGAAAACAACAGATTTGCGAGAAACAGGCTTGGCTTGGTGCAGTAAGGAGGCAGATGGGCGATGATGATCCATATTTGAGAAGGCGCTGTGTTCAGTACCGTGTGCGTGAGTCTGCTCCCCTGATCTGCTACCTCTTGTTTAAACACAGAAAGATTCTTTTCTTTGGCAGCAGGTTTGACCCCCTTTCCCCGAGCCAACTTGGTGTCAGGACCTGGTGACAGGAAAGTAAGGTTAATGCATGACAATAAATAAGGCTTCATGCACGGCCTGTTGTGCATTAACCTGCTTATACCATGGTTAATACACATTTGGCTTGCAGGTTGGCACCTAAAGAAATTATTTCAAATTTATGAGTAGAACTACTTTTTTCTGCCAATGATTAAACATTTCCATGTAGTTACTGTTCATTTTACATTGTTTTCAACATTTGGAATTTTAAGTAAGAATTAAAGATTAAATATAAGTGTGAATTGATTTACTACAATGAAATAATAAACACCATTCTAACCAATCAGATTTGAAAATTCAACAGCGTTGTGATATAATGGTGGCTAATAACTCCCCAGAATTACTGATAAAAAGGTGACATTTTAATTTAATATATACAAAAAAGCATACAACTTAAACTGCTTCCAAAATGTATGAAGCCAGTGCTACTCACTGAAAAGTCAGAGAAGTTTCCAGAAATTGGCCCATGGCAAATGTGTTATCTCTTCATTTTTTTCCTACAGCTCAAGCATGTGAGTAATGAGGATGAATCAGGATGCACCATAATTGAACAGGCATTGATTTGCCATTCACTTTGTGTTCACAGTACTCCAGCAGAATCTCTGATAATTGTTCTTCCTGTCTGCAGAAAGAGGCCACTTTCTGCTTGGTTTCCATCATGTTCAGTTCAAGTCATATTCATTTTCATAAGGAGCTGAATTCTTTATCACTTTGTGAGCAAAAATTTATTAGGCTGCCCTCTTTGTTGTATATACATTAAGCTGCCCTCTTTGTTGTATGTACATTAGGCTGCCCTCGTTTTTGTATATACATAAAGCTCACAGTTAAATTATGACACCCAGCGGTAAATGGGCAGAGGTGGCTTGATGGTTAGGGTAGCGCACTTGTAATTGAAAGATTGTGGGTTCGAATCCCCCACCAGCAAGTCATCACTGAGGTACCCTGAGCAAGGTACCGTCCCCAAGCACTGCTCCCCGGGCGCTGAATTAGCTGCCCCCTGCTATGTCACGAAAGTCACATGTGGGTCAAGTGCAGAGGACACATTTCGTTGTTGCGCACTGTGTGCTGTGGTGTGTTGACACTGATCACTTAATTCTAAATTTACAGAATTCATCCTACTCCAGAATTAGGGCAGCTCATATGACACATCGGATAATACTGGTACTGTTTGGGCGATTACAGAGTAGATGTGGAAATTGCATGGAAAAGACAGCTCTGGGGTAACTTAGTACCCTGTTTAAATGTTTTCTATTCATATTAAAATGGCCTCCCCTGCCACAGTTTACAAGGGAAAACATGTTCTTCTTGTAACCATTTTCCCCGAGACAATGTCTGTTTCCCTTCAAGGAGGTCAACATCAACACAGCTATCCCACTTGAAGCAGCCACTCACTAAGAGTGCTGCATACCTGCCATGTGATTTCTGGTGAGCTATAGGCTGTAGGGCTGTGGTCTGCCAAATGGCTGGGACAGCCTCCAAGACAGAAATATTCAACAAAGCAGGACTTATGCCCCCACCCCCAAAAAAAACACAGAATGGGGACAACACCCCATTTAATGAGAGGCACAAAGAAGTAAAGGTGACTTCAAAAACCTTAAAAGAATCCCTAGGTAAAGGAGACACAGCACACTACATCAGTCCTTCAACCAACACACGTAACACACACCTGAGATCACACCTGTATCTATACCTGTAAGCTTAACTCAGAACATGAAATCCTCAGATAAAGCAATTTGTCTGGAAGTGGTAGTGGCAAATCACTCATTGGTAGGTAGATTTGGGTGAAGAGTGGAGCAGGAGCGCCCCCTGCTGACACTCTGCAGAATGTGGAGAGTTTTTCCTAAGGCCTGAAAGCATCACTTCATGATTGTTTTTTCATGCATTTCACTTTCTGTTTACACAACATTCTATGCAGTATAAATATGGTACTGTATTAATCATATTTGCTTTTGCATCAATAATAGAAAAAATCCTGCCCTCTGGTGGTTTCAGCGGTGTATTGCAAAGTTTCAGGAAAAAGTATCTCCATCCACTACACCAGGTTATAGCAGGCTCTGCTGTACTATGACTGATGCATGTCTTCAAATTCTAGTAATAGCTCATCCAAAAACACATACAGATTGTCAGAGTAAAATGTATTGTCACTCTGCTCATTTTGGAAGAGTTTATACCCAGTTCGGGGTGGGCTGATGGGGCTCCAGCCTGGCCTGAGGCACTTGCACACCTTGGTGGAGGCAGCTGGAGTTCAGCCACACCCCAGTGAACTCAGACAGCACCATGTACACTAAGCTGACATCCCTGCAGTACTGCTCCTGTACCTTTGCCGGTTAGCTTGGTCTCCTCCTTCCTTCCAGGAGTCAAATTTCCCTCACTGGCTGTCTGGTTCTCCTCCTTCTTGGGCATGTCCTGCATGCAGAGAGTGGAGTCAAACACACTACACACAAGGGCCATCTGGAACAGCACCCTCAGCACTACAATTATAAACCCAGCCATTTTCATTACATGAACTGCCCAGCTGACACGTTCTGTTTGAGGCTCTGTCAATGTGCAGGGTGCTAAGAGGGGTGGCTGGCCCCCCTCTGCCACCCATCATTGTAGTAACCTCATCTAATTGGCCTATTTTCACATCTGTTCACTGTAGAGCATGGCAGAGCGCAGAGAAGCTGGCAGAGCGTGAAGGTGAAGTTGGCAGAGATCTACTGCTGTAGGGATACCTTCTTCCTTGTGGAGCTCCTAGTGGTGTTGCTCATGCTGGGCTCCAGCGAGGAGCTGCTGGCAATCGACAGCCAGCTCTCATTTTTGGAGTCTGCAATCTGGGTCTGGCTAGGCTGGAGAAGGGGGCACATGGCTCTGAGAAGCTCCCTTTTCTCTGTCCTCTCAGTTTTTTCTCAGTTCTACCCCAACCCCCCCATTTCCTTGTGTCCTGTTTCTGTCTCTATCAGTCAAACATTACAGCTCCATTCCAAGCCTACCAGTTCTTTATACTGAAGGTACAATGTAGATGCAACATTTGGGGTTAACACACAGAAGTTCCCAACAATGTAATGTGAATAATGGACAATAAACAAGACAAACAACAAAGCAATACAGTGCAGACAGAGTAGAAATTATCAATGGTATTTATATGCAGAGGAATCTTACGAAAAATAATCATGTCCTTGTCAGTACATGTGCTTCAATCAGTACATATGTTTGTGTCAGTGGACATGTCCCTATCGGTAGGTATGTCCCTCTCACCAAGGAATTCCACTTGCCCATCTGCCTTCTCCTTTCTACGATCTCATCATGAGTGAGTGCAAAGGGCCCCAGCACCTGTGGAGAAAGCACAGAGAGGAGGCACCAAAGAATATAAGACCTGAGCTCCAGACTGTAGAAACAGGGGTCACCAGAATATATGGCACACAGTCTGCATACAGACATATCACAGCATGAATTTACAGAGCAACAAGGCTCAGATGATACATACCTCTGCCAGATATGCAGCGCCAGCATCTCCAATGCGATTGTAGGCCAGGGAGAGACACAACAAGGTCCGATTTAGCCGCAGTCCCTGCAAGTTACAGGAAGAAGGTATTTTGATGGTTTCTTCAGCTATTCGCATTAAGCTGCAAAGTGCATCACAGTCTAACTGCCTTTTGGCTTTTAGTGCTATACTGTACCTGGGCGATGTGTTTGGCTCCTACATCCCCAATTGAATTGAAGGCCAGGTTAAGGTACAGCAAGCTCCTGTTAGCCACTCTTGCTGTGGACAGTGCAGCACCAATGAGATGAGCTCCTCTCTCCCCTATGCAGTTGTTCCGCAGGGACAGGTGGGTCAGCCTAGGAATAGGGCAGGGTGGTGATCACTGGCACAAGGACCAAAGCAGATGTTCGGAAAGCTCAGAAAGGACCAGTAAATTATGTACTGTACCTGAACCCGCTTTCCAATGTGCCTGTGCGCGTTTGTGTCCGTGTTGTATGTGTTGTGTGTGTATCTTTCTGTACATCAGTACATGTGGTGTGTATTTCTGTGTGTCTGCATTCATGTGTGTGGAGCATTTGTGAGAGATTGATAAAGACCCACGGGCTGTCTTCAGCGATGAGGATGTGGAAAGCTTGTTCTGGAAGGGGATTTCCTTCTAAAACCACAGTCCTGTCAGAGAGATGGGGGAGTGCAACCTGAGTGGAGGGCAGACAGTCCTTGTGGCACCGATTTTCGGTTACATCTTAATTCATCTACAGGAAAAGTGCTACGGTTAGAGCCAAAGAGGCCGGGAGGCTTAATGATATCCAGGCTAATGGACACACTGCTCCCAGGGGCCAATTACCTGAGGTTGAGACAGAGAGACACAGTGCTCTTTAACGAAGTTAGAGTTTGCTCAGTCAAGCCTGCTCTCCATAGACTGTATGAATGATACATATGCATATTGTCAGATCACAGCTTATTAATAGTTATAAGAAACACATGTATTTAGAACTTCAGTTAAAAGCAACGTATCTCGCACTAACAAAGAATAAGGCTTTATTTCACTTACTACTACTTCTCTTCTTTACCTCCTGGTTGAGTTTGTCCTTCAAAATTTACCTCTATTCCACAGCACATGCCTCACTGGCCACTCCCACTCCCCTCTTTGTGCCCCATCTCCACAAAACTCACTGCAGCCTTTGCAGGTTGCTCAGGGATGGCAGTATCTTGCTCAGGGCCTGCATGGTCAACTCGTCAGCCTTCCAGCCTGATTTGAGGAACTCATGTTAATACTGGAGCGTTTGGATAAGTACTCTGTACTGCGCGTTATTACCTGTCTCAACCCAGATCTCTAACACCACAAGAAGTATCCAAAAAAGAGTCATTATTAAACATCAGACTGCCCACTTCTCCCAGAAGTTCCAGGAGGCTCCCACAAATTGACAGTAGCTCCCTGACACCCGCAAATGACAGTCAATGTCCCAGAAATCTGTTGTTCTGCTATTTAGTAGAGTTAAAATTAACTAGCAAGATGGTTTACTGCTGCAACCCTGCTCCACCTGGTCAGTAAATTTAATACCATCACCTTTTAGCCCTAGTTGGCAAATCTTACCACCAGGCCCCCCCTCTCCCAAGTCAACAAGTCTTGCAACACCCCAACCTAGCTAGCACTATGCTTGGGCGGTATCTCATTCTGAATAATGCTAGACCGTACAAGACATTATACTATGATATATGGTATTTTTATGTTATTTTAAAAATCAGTACTTCCAAATAAAATGTGTGTGTGTGTGGGGGGGGGGTGTTACAATGCATTATATAATAATGCCGCATTATTTAATAACTCCACAAAATGTAACAATTTTTCATCACATAATGTGAGGTTACTACATTATGCATTGTCACACACCATGTAACAACACATTATGCAATAACACCACATTATATAGTAATTCGATAAAATGTTACAAATTCATGACTACATTATAATTTTATATTGTAACATTACCCAATTAATATCATCATCATCATTATCGTTATTATTATCATCATTCAGTTCATTGCAATCTGTCGAGTTATTACATAATGCGCCGTTACTACATATTGCGTTGTCACAGGTGGGTATTTTTGAAACAAAATACAGCAGTATACCCAAAATACCAATAACACCCAAGCCAAGCCAGCAACCCCCTCCTCCCTGTTTCCCTCATCTTGAATCAACATGCCTAAATAGAGATGGCAGCAGCAAACTAGCTGAGTGCAGACACTGTGTTGACACATTCAGCAGGTGGTGCTAATTGACGTGCTCACCAAAGATCCTGAGCTCCCTCACGCTGTGAGGATCCTCTGTCTCCAGCTCTGCCTGCAGACAGGGCTTAGGAGACCACTGGGTGGTGGCTTCATCACGGACTTTTGCCAGACTGTCTTCTGCAACATAAAGGAGAGATTTATGCTTCTTACTTTTGGAATATCAGTATTTAAATAAGTATTTTATAATGTTGACCCTGGGTGCATGTAGCCCAAGTTTCATACTGTACACATTGGTGGTTACATTTCACACTGTAGCACTGAATTCACAATTTTGAGCATGATGGGATTTGGGGACTTTATGGTATATATGTCATATTCGTGCCAGCAAAAAATACTGCTGTTTACAGTGGTCTGCAGTGGTAAAGATAAATGTCAATAACGAAACCTACAAAACCAAAATAAAGAAAATATGTTTTAATGTAACAAAATAGCACAGTACAGGCACTGTATATGAATCGTATCTGCTTATTGTAGCTGTCACACATACATTACTGTATGCATACTGTGTTACAAGTTAGATATGGACAGTGAGCCATTATACAGTTGGCAGCGCTGCCCATTCTCCTGCACATGTTGCACTAAGCGATACATCCACTAATGTTCTATTACGTCCGCTTACAGGCATCTCTCAGTCAGTGGGTCAGTGTATATTATGTATTATGGACCTGGGAGGTAATCAACTCATCAAACATGACTCAGTCAGGCAAAATTCAACATGAGGTCATATGTGGGGTGGTGAGTGGCTCAGTGGGCTAAGTCTTAGCAGGCCTTCGCAGAAGAGTCTCACGTTCGTGGGCCCTTAAGCATGGCCCTTAACCCCAGCTCCAGGGGTGCTGCATGTTAGCTGACCCTGTCCTGTGACCAGGGGCGGATTAACGCACAGGCTAGATATGGCTTAAGCCTAGGGGCCCCACGTGTGCCAGCCTGCAAGGGGGCCCCCATTTGCGCGGAGCGGGGCTTGGTTGGGGGGCCCACAGACTACTGTAGCCTAGGGGCCTCTGTACACCTTAATCCGCCCCTGCCTGTGACCCCCCCCCCCCCCTAGCCATGGAGAACAAGATGGGGTCAATGAAGAGAAGCATTACAATATACCTGTACCAGAGCATGTGAGAGGAGCGGAGCGTGAGCGAGGAGCGGAGTGGGCGGAATTTGGTCAGAGCGCGGAGCGGGTTTTCTAATTAAGGCTGGAGCGGTCGCTTTGTCTCGCTCCAATTTCGCTCCGATACCGCTCACACTACAATTCTGAGGCGTGCCCAAATCTACCCAGAATTCATCTGTACAATTATCAAGACTGTTACACAAATTGGCCGAGATGGAATTCGCAAAGTATTTCACAAAGAAAACTGATAAATCATACAAGTGTACTATTCTTATCAAACGTATAGATGACAAGAATGTACAGCAAGAACAACAATGTGGTGAAACTGTTTCAGTGAGTAAAGATTCACTTTGGAATCACTTTTCTCAGAAACATGAGTGTGCTACACGAACAAGCGGAAGCCAGAGCAAAACGCGTGCAAGTTTTATATGGTTGTAGCATATCAAGTCTATAAAGTAAATTAAAGTATAAAAGCCTATAAAGTAAATATTGGTAATCAAATAAATTCGTTTTGTCATTCAAAGTAGGTCTAATAAGATTTTTTTTTTATTTCACGTAACGTAAAATTTTATTTTAGATACGTGCTACATCAACAGAAAAAATTGAGGAATTTAAAACGTGTCTGTATATTCTTTAGGCTATTAAACCCACTGATTCCTTTATTTTTAAGCCTATTTTTGTGTGGAATGCCATTTCCAAACCTGTCCGTTGTTGCCGATAGGTTGCTTAAAAATAAACATTTTCTGTTCTGACTGGCAATGTTGCCGTTGCTCATATTTCTTTATGACATAAGGCTTCGGTTTAAGGTGACATTTGTTAGGCATGCAGATTATTTGTTCCTCTTTTAAATTGGAGCGAGCGTGGAGCGATTTGACTGGAGTGGGAGGACATTTTAGTGGAGCGAGGAGCGGTGTTGAGCGGAGCGGCTTAGTGCAAATTAGAGCGGAGGAGCGGGCGGAGCCAACAGCCTCGTGAGCGAGGAGCGGAAATTCTCACCGCTCCGCTCCGCTCACATGCTCTGACCTGTACTTGTGCAAATGGCAAATAACACACCTTTGTTTTGTTTAGGGCTATGCATGTTATTCATTCACAGCTCCACTTCCATCGTTGCCAATAAAGAGAACTGGCCAAACCCACATTCACACCGAGCCTTGCTACTCACTTATTTGCATCAACGTTTATGGATTCCAGAATAAGTCCATTTTACCCAAGAGTGAGTTCACACACCACATCATGCCGTGCATTTGACCTTGATGTAGTTTGAGTAAACAAACTTAGGTTTACTGTTCCACCCCATTTCCATCCATCCATCCATCCATTATCTCCCGCTTATCCGAGGTAGGGTCGCGGGGGCAGCAGTCTCAGCAGGGAAACCCAAACTTCCCTCTCCCCGGCCACTTCATCCAGCTCCTCTGGGAGAATCCCAAGGCGTTCCCAGGCCAGCCGAGAGACATAGTCCCTCCAGCGTGTCCTGGGTCTTCCCCAGGGCCTCCTCCCAGTGGGACAAGCCCGGAACACCTCACCAGGGAGATGTCCAGGAGGCATCCTAATCAGATGCCCGAGCCACCTCATCTGACTCCTCTCAATGCGGAGGAGCAGCGGCTCTACTCTGAGTCCCTCCCGAATAACCGAGCTCCTTACCCTATCTCTAAGGGAGAGCCCAGCCACCCTGCGGAGGAAACTCATTTCGGCCGCTTGCACTCGCGATCTCGTTCTTTCGGTAACTACCCACAGCTCGTGACCATAGGTGAGGGTGGGAACGTAGATCGACTGGTAAATCGAGAGCTTCGCCTTTTGGCTCAGCTCCATCTTTACCATGACAGACCGATGCAGTGCCCGCATCACTGCAGACGCCGCACCAATCCGCCTGTCGATATCCCACTCCATCGTCCCCCCACTCGTGAACAAGACCCCGAGATACTTAAACTCCTCCACTTGGGGAAGGACCCCATCCCCGACCTGGAGAGAGCATTCTACCCTTTTCCGGCTGAGGACCATGGTCTCGGATTTGGAGGTGCTGATTCTCATCCCAGCCGCTTCACACTCGGCTGCGAACTGTCCCAGCGAGAGCCGAAGGTCACGGTCTGATGAGGCCAACAGGACCACATCATCTGCAAAAAGCAGAGACCTATCCCTGAGGTCATCAAACCGGACACCCTCAACACCCTGGCTGCGCCTAGAAATTCTGTCCATAAAAACTATGAACAGAATCGGTCACAAAGGGCAGCTAACCCTCACCGGAAACAAGTCCAACTTATTGCCGCTCATGCGGACCAGACTCTGGCACCGGTCATACAGAGACCGAACAGCCCTTAAAAGGAAGCCCGGCACCCCATACTTCCGGAGCACCCCCCACAGGACTCCCCGAGGGACACGGTCGAATGCCTTCTCCAAGTCCACAAAACACATGTAGACTGGTTGGGCAAACTCCCATGAACCCTCCAGAATCCTGCGGAGAGTATAGAGCTGGTCCACTGTTCTACGGCCGGGGCGAAAACCACACTGCTCCTCCTGAATCCGAGGTTCGACAATCCGGTGGACCCTCCTCTCCAGAACCCCCGAATAGACCTTACCAGGGAGGCTGAGGAGTGTGATCCCCCTATAGTTGGAGCACACCCTCTGGTCCCCCTTCTTAAAAAGGGGGACCACCACCCCGGTCTGCCAGTCCAGAGGCACTGCCCCTGATGTCCACGCGATGCTGCAGATGTGTGTCAACCAGGACAGCCCCATAGCATCCAGAGCCTTAAGGAACTCCGGGCGGATCTCATCCACCCCCGGGGCTCGGCCACCAAGGAGCTTTTTGACCACCTCAGTGACCTCCGCCCCCAAGATAGGGGAGTCCACACCCAAGTCCCCATACTCTGCTTCCACATTGGAATGCATGTCGGTGGGATTGAGGAGGTCTTCGAAGTACTCCTTCCACTGACCCAAAACGTCCCGGGTTGAGGTCAGCAGCACCCCATCCCCACCATAAACAGTGTTGATGTTGCACCGCTTTCCTGCCTGGAGCCGCCGGATGGTGGACCAGAATCGCCTCAAAGCCGTCCGGAAGTCATTTTCCATGGCCTCACTAAGCTCCTCCCAAACCCAAGTTTTTGCCTCAGTGACCGCCGAAGCTGCAACCCGCTTGGCCTGCCGGCACCTGTCAGCTGCCTCTGGAGTCCCACAGGCTAAAAAGGCCCAATAGGACTCCTTCTTCAGCTTGACGGCATCCCTCACCACTGGTGTCCACCAGCGGGTTCGCGGATTGCCGCCGCGACAGGCACCGACCACCTTACGGCCACAGCTCCGGTCAGCTACCTCCACAATGGAGGCGCGGAACATGGCCCATTCGGACTCAATGTCCCCCACCTCCCCCAGGACATGGGAGAAGTTCTGCCAGAGGTAGGAGTTGAAACTCCTCCTCACAGGGGATTCTGCCAGACGTTCCCAGCAGACCCGCACTATATGCTTGAGTCTGCCAGGCCTGGCCGGCTTCCTCCCCCACCAGCGGAGCCAACCCACCACCAGGTAGTGATCGGTTGACAGCTCCGCCCTTCTCTTCACCCGAGTGTCCAAGACATGCGGCCGCAAGTCCGACGACACGACTACAAAGTCGATCATCGAACTGCGGCCTAGGGTGTCCTGGTGCCAGGTGCACATATGAACACCTTTATGCCTGAACATGGTGTTAATTATGGACAATCCATGACGAGCACAGAAGTTCAACAACAGAACACCACTCGGGTTCAGATCGGGGGGGCCGTTCCACCCAATCACGCCACTCCAGGTCTCACTGTCATTGCCCATGTGAGCATTGAAGTCCCCCAGCAGAACAAGAGAGTCCCCAGAATGAGTGTTCTCCAACACCCCTTCCAGGGACTCTAAAAAGGGTGGGTACTCTGAACTGCCGCTCGGCACATAAACACAAACAACAGTCAGAACCCGTCCCCCCACCCGAAGGTGAAGGGAGGCTACCCTCTTGTCCACTGCGGTAAACCCCAATGTACAGGCGCCCAGCCAGGGGGCAATAAGTATGCCCACCCCCGCTCGGCGCCTCTCCCCGCAGGCAACTCCAGAGTGGAAGAGGGTCCAACCCCCTTCGAGGAGACTGGTTCCAGAGCCCAAGCCGTGCGTCGAGGTGAAGCCGACTATGTCTACCCGGAACTTCACAACCTCGCGCACCAGCTCAGGCTCCTTCCCCATCAGAGATGTGACATTCCATGTCCCAAGAGCTAGCTTCTGCAGCCGAGAATCGGACCGCCAAGGTCCCTGCCTTTGGCTACTGCCCAGCTCACAACGCACCCAACCCCTATGGCCCCTCCTCTGGGTGGTGAGCCCATTGGAGGGGGGACCCACGTGCCTTGTTCGGGCTGTGCCCGACCAGGCCCCATGGGTATAGGCCTGGCCACCAGGCGCTCGCCATCGAGCCCCACCCCCAGGCCTGGCTCCAGGGGGGGGCAACGGTGACCCGCGTCCTAGCAAGGGAAAACATGTTTCCATCATGTTTTTCTTCATAAGGGGTCTTTTGAGCCGCACTTCGTCTGGTTCCTCACCCAGGACCTGTTTGCCTTGGGTGACCCTACCAGGGGCATAAAGCCCCGGGCAACTTAGCTCCTGGGTTCACTGGAACACGCAAACCCCTCCACCACGATAAGGTGGCGGCTCCAGGAGGAGCCTTTGAACTAATTTGGATCTGGGTGTTTTTTTAAAGATTTTTTAGAATAAGCATGGTTCTCAAACTGTTAAAACTCCTTTAAAAATATCTGTGAACTGAAAAAAAATGAGTTTCAAAATGAATATCTGAGTAACAAAAGTAAAATAAATGAATATTATTATAAATGAATAATATTAGTAGTACCACCTATCTTCTCTGGTTTCTGTCTGCCCTTTAATAATCAATATAATCAATAAGTAAAAGTGGCTTACCTTCAGCCTGAATAGTGGGGGGGCAAGTGAGTGGTTTGTGAAATGTACTGTTACCACAATGGAAGGAGTCTTCTTAAACAGAGCAGTCTCCCTGTCAGATATTCCATACTGAAACTGCCTAATCAATGTTTTCTCTCTGAATACTGGCTTCTTTAAGGTATTTATTAGCTTGAGGATTGCAGCCTGCTTCAGCTCAACTCTGTAACACTGATCTTGGTCAGAGTGCTGCAAGTGATGCATCATATGGAATATTACGAAAACAGGCATTAGTACCAGTCGGCTTTCCCCTTAGTGATCCTTCTGCAGTTGAGTTTTATCTGCTGATGCAAGGGATTTGGAAAAGCTGTGACTTTAGCATGATCAGTCAAATCAGTGAGAAATACCTCCTTTATAAGAGTAATACATAGCAGCACTTTCCTAAGGCAATGTGGTACTGATGCCTTCAAAAGATGTGATTGCTAAGACTTTTAAAAAATGAAATGGACCAAAAGGAAAACAAGCATGTGGATTTTGATCATTTCAAGCCTAAACATTCACTTGAAGCCAAAATGACCAGATTGAACATTTTGGGCACATCACCATGGGAAGGCAGTAGTGGTGGGGCAGTGGTGGCCTAATGGGTAGGAAAGTGCACTTGCTATTGAAAGGTTGCTGGTTTGAATCCCCAACCAGCAAGGTACCACTGAAGTACTCTGACTAAGGTATTACTCCCAGGTACTGAATTAGCTGCCCCCTGCATCCCATATGGTTGTCTAGATTGCTAGTTGATGGGAGCAAATTGCTAATAACCATGTTTTTCACAGTATTGTGCTATGCAAAATTAATACAATGCAATAGCAACATTTGCTATAGTATATAAACCAGGGGTCTCCAACTCCGGTCCTGGAGAGCTACTACCCAGTAGGTTTTCTGTCCCACTCGGCTTCTGATGAGCCACACCTGCTCCTGGTATTTACCTGAGAACAGGTGTGGCTCATCAGAAGCCGGGTAGGATAGAAAACCTACTGGACGGTAGCTCTCCAGGACCGGAGTTGGAGACCCCTGATATAAACAGTGCTTTATTGGTGTACCTGAACTGTTTTTGAGATCTGCACCTACCAGTGGGGATGGACTCAGCAGTCGGCGATGAGGCCTTAGGTTGTGTGGTCACCACAGGTATCCTGTTCATTCCCAACAGAGCACAAACCTCTGGAAAATCAACCTCCAGGCTACCACAGCAATGGTACTCATCTGCAGATAGTGTGTTTAAAGGCATGGTTTTAAAGCTGCCATTGCAAGTTTTACTGTGTGTTGTATTAAAATGCCAAATCAATCCACCACCCACAGACTCTCAATCAGTACAGGACTGAGGTGAGAGCAGGACACATGGTGGACAGGACCCCAGGCCACTGCAGGCTACACACTCAAACACAATCACATGCAAGAGGGGAATTTGAGACTCTAATTCATATAATGGCAAAATATCAGACTATGGGACGAAACCAGATTATCCAGAGGAAACCAGCACAATGAAATTATAAAATAATACTTAAAAATTAAAAGGTCAAATGAATGCAGCCTTACCAATACTTTGGGCTGAGGGTTGTTCTTGAATATTCAGTGCTTGTGGAATAATGCATGGAGTGAGGAAAAGGGAAAAAAAATGATATTCAAGTTAAAGTTGGCACCTCTACCAAAGACAGTTGGAAACAAGCACAGAAACACGCTTGAAGGACGGACAGCTGGCAGACACAGATAGAGTCAGAGAGGGGAAAGCCAAACCCAATAGCCCATAAATAATGCACAGTTAGCTAATTAAACACAGATGTCTCTTTAACAAGATCTGTACCCGCTGTTTCTTCTTCAGCTGCTGGCAACCCCCTGTCTGTCTTTTCTTTAGGGGGCTTCTCCCCTCTCCTTTTCATATTCATACAGATCCTGCGGTGACATCAGCAGAGATCTCAAAGCAGCAGGTCACAGACAGAATTTCTATCACCAAAAGGAATCATTTCTAATGTTTTCAACGTTTCTGGTAAATAGCACGTTTAAACTACACAACGAGACACCGGTACTTATTCTATTCGTTAAGTAGCGGGGTCATAAAGCTGCATAGTCAGGTAACTGAATATTGGAACCCGAGCCCGTTCGGCAAAATTTACCGAGGGGGACCTGCTCTAGGTACAAAGATAATTATACATTCGTATATAGAAACTTATTTCGCTCAGAAAGATTTTCAATATATGAAACACGTACCATATATATTTGGTATGAAGGTGCGTTGGTAACCTTTGTATCTATATACATACCTCAAATGTGCTTACCGGACAGCGTCTTTGGTGTTTCCATAGCAATGTCGCTGGAGATCACGTGATCTGCTGTTAACTCTTTACTTCAAACCCCAGAATAATTTGGAAACAGTAGTCTATGACTTTGGACTTGGGGAGGATACCCGCTCAAACAGAACGAAGGCAGGAATCGAATCCCCAGTCTTGTAAGCGTGCGGCCATTGCCACTAACAAGGGCTATACACGCCCCAATACTTCAGACAAAATGTACCCAAGTTAATCTCCTACCCGTAGCCTATAAATTACTCATATTCTAACAATTAAACTTAGATGACAGCTTATTTTCTGTTATTCTACAGATATCGCTGAACAGAAGTGTTTATTTATAGAAGGCTTTGTTATTGCCTGTAGCAGAATGGGCAACTGAAACAATGTTCCGCCTTCAGATTATACCTGGGTAGTCTCGAAATATGTTTTTAAAAGCTTAAAGCAGTACACCACATTATACAATATAAAATGTAAAATGTATCTCTGAACAATCAAAAGCAGCATTTTTGTTTAGCAAGAGAGATGTATATACGAATTACTCACTGGATAAGTGACTGGAAGTAAGAAAAGGAAGTAGGATAAGTAAACGTATTTTAATGACAACAATAATCGTCTGTTTACTGTAACGTAGTGTTTATTTAAAAAAAATGAATAAAATATAAAAAGTAAAAACAAAGAGCATTGTCAAGACTTTAGAATCATAATTACAAACTTTTAACCAGAGTGGAAGAACTCGGGACAAACTTTTGAATCCCACACAATGTCCATCAGTCTGTCCATTTAAATTAGCATTAGTTTTTTGCGATTGTCTAAAAAATTAACAAAAATAAAATTACACAAATGCACACAGAAATACAAGCAACACATTTATTACAGCTTTCACAAAATTAGAATAGTTTTTATTAAAAAGATATGATATCGAGTTAACTTTTTTTTTTTTTGCCTCTTACAAATATCAATACATCACCATGTTGGGTTGCTTTTTTAGTGTTCAACACTTTTGCAGCAAATCAGGGGTTAAAGTCCTCCTCAGGAATCATGAACAGGACAGTAGGTTACTGCCTCCCCATCTTCCATCTTATACGAAATTTGTCTCCTCTTTGTTCCCCACCCCCACTTCCTCAGCATTTAGATACAATTAATATATATGCAAAAAAAAAAATGCTTAAGGAAATTGTATGTCACAAGATAAACACCTTCTTGCTGCGTCAAGCTTACATTTGACAACAATACTAGCAACCGCAGCAAAATTATTAATAACAATAATAGTAATATTAATAATAATACAAGTAGGCTCCATTGTCCGGATCCTGTACAATACATGAAAAACCAAATCTACCATATGATATTGCTATTTCAGACTCCATTGTAGCCTACACCAGCAACACTAAGCAACTTAGCTTGCAACAATTTGTTAGGCCAGCCTTATTTTGACAGTCCAAATTGGACAGAATGGATCAGTCCAGTGGATTTCCTACAGTCTTGTCCCAGGTCATCCATAACCTTATTAAACTTTAAAATGAAAACATAAATTTTACCATGGAAACAAAAAAAAAAGACTCTCTGGGAAAAACGGCCTTATGAGCAATCTTTCACAAACAACCTTGCCCATGCTCACATACTCAAAACCTGTGTTAGTCTCACATATCTTCTTTTATTTTGGCATGTGACTTTAAGCATTTATCAACTCTTACACCCATAAGAGTCTATGAAGTCATGCCAAATGAGCATGCACAGATGAATGTATGAAAGCATACATGCTGGCCACTGTGCTCCCAGAGCTCTGTTCTCCCCGTGAGCTGACTGCTCAAGTGAGAGAGAGAGAGAGAGAGAGAGAGAGAGAGACAGAGACCGCCAACCTGTGCTACTTCACCTACACGTCAGTCCTGTGAATTCATGCCCTTCAAGCACAGGTCCTTCATCTTCTCCATCATCATAACTCTGCTAAATATATCTGAGGATTCATCAGCTTATAGGTCATTCTCAGATTATGACACAGGTCCCTGTGTGGCACTACAGGTCACCATATCACCCTGTGACATCTCCCACCCTCCTAGTTTTTCTGTGACTGTGCTGAGGCTTGCCAGTTTTTCTGTGTTTACTTCCTGCTTTATAGTGTTACCACTTTATTTCAAGTTTTTATCGAGGACCTTCTGCTGCAGCTGGGGTTTTTGTTACACGTTTCGGATAGATTGTACTGTCTGTAATACAGTACATCGCTCTGCGTGTCTGAGTCCTTACCCTTAGCCCTTCCATCGCCATGGTTCTCTCAGGCTATATTCTGTCTTCTAGCTATCCATAATGTCCTTCTGTGTATTTTCATCTCCTTTGGAGAAAACAGAGAAGACAGACTTGAGGAGGTGACAGTGCAAAGTTTTTCCCCTGCTGCTTCTTCCCCAAGCTATAAGTGCATGTGGTGGCATCATTTCCTGCCGCTGAAGTCAGCTAATCCTAGTGTCCGTCTGCGCAGGCGGCGCCCTGGTCCCTCCTCCAGGAGGTAGGTCACATCTATAGCTAAAAACAGAAAAAGACAGTAAGAAAAAACCAGTAAGTAAGGAGGATAACACTGATTGATGCTGCTATATCGGTACTGGCTAAATCCAATAAATGTGCAATAGGTGAACCTAAGTATAGTCAAATAAAACATTCTACATGCTTAGATCATCCAGTTAACTCATACAATTGTATGAATACACAAAGAAAAAGGTATGTTCAATTTAAACTCTTCAGACACTTGCAATGCTTTGCCAAAGTTATGTTGGTCATGTTTTATCGGCACTAAAAAGCAAACTATAGAGTCACATACTAGTGCTGGTTTAATCATTTTCATAATTAGGTACATAAAGGCAATAATTTTGTTGTCTAAGAAATATTTTACTATAGTTTTCGTGGAAGGATCACTGTATATCTGGTATATCCATTTTCAGAAGCAGACTTAAATAATATTTTTGGGCATCTAGAAGCTGTATTTATCGTAGCTTCAAAGGGAAAATTAACATTCATGTTGTCAAAAGTAATTCCCATGGAACAATCAGTGCTGTGGATCAATTATTAAGACAGATTACAATTTTAATCTTTTGACAATTTGAGGGGGCGACTTGGTGGTGCAGTGTTTTGCACTGTCTCCTCACACCTCTTGGGTCAGGGTCTCCATGTGAGTGGAGTTTGCATATTCACCCCGTGTTATGGTGGGGTTTCCTCCAGGAATTCTGGTTTCCCCCCTCAGTCCAAAATATGCTGATGCTAATTGGAGTTATCAAATTGCCCATAAGTGTGCATGTGTGTGAGTGCGCCCTGCAACGGATCGGCACCCTATCCTGGGTTGTTCCCTGCCTTGCGCCCATAACCTCTGGGATGGGCTCCAGACCCCTAGTGACCCTGAATAGGACAAGCAGTTTCAGAAAATGGATGGATGGCAATTTTATGGGGTAAGCCAAGCTTCCTATGTAGTCTTAGAGCGATCACCTGTGCTAGATAATCTTGAAAAGAATCAATCATTAAAATTGCACAGATAACTAAGTTTTGTTTCCTACAAATTAAAAATGTTTTAGTGAAACATAACCCCCATCTCCCCTCTCGCATGCGCTCTGTGAATTTTATCACCAACATTTCAAAATACCGGAACTGTATTGCAAAATAACATTATTTTAGAAAAATCTATATACTATAGATAGTAGGAAAAAGCCTGATCTCCTCTATCATGGGCCTTGCAATGTCAGAATGACATGTACATAACATGCAATGTCACAAATCACTAGGCATGTAACGAAGAATCGCGAATTGGTTAAAAATTGATGTAAATGTATGACGATTAAAACCGGCTGATGAGGAAAATGAATCGCTACTTTAGAAGTACTTCACAGTACTTTAACAGAAAGTGTAATATTACATTTGATATCACGATGTCAGTTCAATGTCAGATGTCACTGCGTATTCACGTCGATGTCGGACGTAAGTTTTTGGTTTTGACCGAATGCGAGATGGCGAGCGAATCTGAAATTGAAGACGGTGCTGTGGTGCAGTGGTTAGCGCTGCTGCCTCATAGCAAGAAGGTCCTGCTTTCGGTCCCGGGTCCTTTCTGTGTGGAGTTCGCACGCTCTCCCTGTTTTCGCTGAGGCTCCGGTTTCCTCCCACGGTCCAAAAACGTGCAGGATAGGTTGATTGGTGAGTCTGAATTGGTAGTTGTGTGAGTGTGTGCGCCCTGTGGTGTATAGGCGACTGCCTGGAGGTTGGTTCCCGCCTGCGCCCATTGTTCTCGTGATAGTCTCCGGTCCCCCCTGTGACCCCAGTTGGAATTAAGCGGTTTCAGAAAAAGGATGGATGGACGCACCGCCCAATCTTATATGGTCAGTGTGGCAGCATTTTAGCTATCCGGTAATCACAAACGAAAACAGCGAGAGAAGCACAGACAAGACAAAAACTGCATGCAAACATTGTAAAAGACTGATAACATACACAAATAGCACGATGAACATGCTTTAGTACGTCCACCGGCATCACAGTGAGCTGAGCGAAGATTATTAAAAGGGCAAACCATGCTAAAAAGCAGCACATGCAAGCCTTAGTTTAGTAGATTTTTTCAAATTTATTTACTTATTTTGATTTGAGATTTTTTTAAAACAGTATTTTATTAAATTTCAGTTGCGCTGTTAAGAAGAGGACACGTTTTGCAAAGTTTAGAAAGATAATTAAAGGAATATTTTTGAATAAACTTGTCTGCCGCTCATTCTGCTAAAAAATCATGAGAAAATCGTATCGTGAATTCAGAATCGTGAGTTGTATCGAATCGTGAGTTGAGTGTATTGTTACATCCCTACAAATCGCCCAGCCCTATTTTGGGACATTGTGTTGAAGAGATAGAGACTGATTCAAAAGAATGGTCAGATGCAAACTGAGAACAAGTAGGTGGGCCTTATCCAAAGAGCAGGCAGTGGTCTTGGAGGCACTAAATATATCAGCCAACTTTGGGAGGAGAGTGGATAGCGATAGGAGACAGGCAGTGAGATCAGGGAGAAAGGCAGATATGAAGTACTGGCAGCCAAAGAGCTCTAAATAGTGGAAATTTTATCCTGGAAAAAGCAAACGAAGTTGCAATGATCAAATTAGGAAGGATTGGTATTATTGGGAGGTTGTAGGAGTTCTTTTAACAGTAGAAAAAAAGAGTGTGAGAATTTCAGTTTGTGCCTCTGACTAGGCTGAAACAGCAGGTCGAGGAGCTGTACAGGCATCTGCAATGAGACAGAGCAGATTGGCCTACCAATCTGCCCCTCCTGTTTCTCCCTAGTGTGGCTTTAACAAGCCACACCTGTTATGCATCAGTCTTACTTCTCGTTCCTACCCTTGTGTAATGCACTCCCACTGCCTCGCATTCTACTCCCTTGGTAGTCTTTGTATAATGGTGCCTCCCAGTCCTGTGTTCCCCAGTCTTAACATTGATGTTGTCCTTTGCCCTGATTCTGGCTCCTGTGTCTTTCGTTCCAAACCCTCACAACATTCTCTCCTCTGTATTTGAGGTCACATCAAATCCTTGCCTCATTGCAGCAACTGCAAAAAAACCCTATGCTTGTTTATACATTATGGAAAAATTTTGAGAAATGCCCTGCCAAATTTGGCACATAGCACAAAATATCATGGATTTCAAAATGCATTTTTTGAAAATGTTACATTAAAATTTGACCAAATTTTGATGGGAAGTAGTCTAGGACCTTGCCTTTGAGAAAGTATAAGAGTTGTTTATACCTTATGGGAAAATTCTGAGAAATGGCCTGTCAAACTGGACTCATAACACAAAATATCATGGATTTCCAAGTACATTTTCTTAAAAATGTAACCATAAAAGTTGACCAAGATTTGCCTGGAAATAGCCTTGGACCTTGCCTTTCAAATGCTATATGACTTGTTTATACATTAATGGAAAATAAGAAATTAATTGTATTCAAGTACATCCTATACTTCGTACATATGAGTATTAATCCTTATGTGCAACCGCTTAGAGTCTGTTATTTTCCTAAACGCGAGCTGATACTGTAATGTCTATGTGTGCACCACACATTTAAAGCGCGGATGGTTAGACCGTGTATCGGCAAAGCATGGATAGCTTGACCGCAGTTGTCAGATATGGGACATTTAGGTAATAGTTTTGAACCAAAAACTGGAAATAGACGACCGGAGTGAACACTTAAAATGACAAGCAAAGAAAACGGATTGTCTATTAAGTCAGCGTAATCATTAACATCAGGAGTCTGTATTATGTTTCACAAATGATTCCTGCTTAGCTGGATAACTTGTCAGATTTAAGGTACACCAATTTAAATGGATTTTATCTTTGTTCACTTACATTTACCACAGACTACCTTAATTACAATAAGCTATCTGGCTTATTTCGCTGTAAATGTAGACAATATGATTCATCGTAAAATGGCATGATGTAAGGATGGAGTGGTGCAAACGTGCGAGGTAAAATCAGGTACAGTAGGTGGTATGGATTGGGTAATGACAACGCTAAGGGGGTTAGCTTCTTTGTTATTTATCTCATATCTGCCCAGTACATTTTTTGTTTACAAAGCTTAAAGTAAAAATCAATTTTTTATTTATATGTTCCAGTATTCAATATTCAATTCATTGTAAGGCTGATAATGTTATAAAATGAACAAAAAAGACAATTAAATCGTTATTCACAATTATTTGTATGACAATTAATTGTCAACAAAAATTTCATGACTGTGATGCCCAATGACTCCAATACACCCTGCTCCTCACAGCCCTCTTTCCTCCAGGAGTTCAAGGATATGCAGTTTGGCTAAGTGGTACCCCTAAACTGCCAATAGCATGTGGGTATATGTATGTGTGCCCTGTGATGGGCTAGCATCCTAGTAAGGGTGTACCCCAGCATCGTGCCCTGTGCACACCAGAATAAGTGCCTGGAAGATAAAAGAATAAATATAAAACTGGTGCTCTTGTAAAATATGACATGTAATCAACCCACTGCTTCAGGCTTGTTTGAGATGTTCACACTCATTCAGGCCTTGGAGATTGGCTGCAGGCAGAGCCTCCACGCTACTCACTGGTCTTGCTAGGCGTTTGATGCAGAAGATTCAGCAGAATCTTGTTCAGACGCTGCCTCTGTACCTCCCTCCTTTCAGATTCAGGGAGGGTTACGGAAGCAGAGGAGAAACTCAGTCTCTCGCCCTGGTCCCCTTGATCATCGGCAACACACTCCTGCACAGGAGGGGCTGGAGACATCATGGTGGAACGGGACCGTGGGAGGGTGTCGCTGGGAGTGTCTGAGTCGCCCTCCTCGCCGCTGAAGCGTGGCCCCCCACCTGTATCACCTGGGGACGGGTGACCCCCCACGCCTGCTGAGGCCAGCTTGGGCCGCTCGCTTTTCCAGGACGGTCGTCCTCCGTTCCTCCTGTAGCTGTCAGGCACATGGTGCGGCTGGGGACACAAACACTGTATCAGGTGACTTCACAGTGCCTTCCAGCTACACAGCACATGGAGTAAACCCATCTACATCTACTTTAATGGGGTCATTCAGGCAAAGGACCCTGGGAACAACCAACTGACCACTTTTAGGCTGAAGCCTACCAGCAAAAATGACTATCAATTTTTATTATATACACTATTTTTAACATCTGATTTGATTAAAAAATTATTTTTGCTACCAAGCATGATAACCGACCTTCCATTAAAAATTTAAGAAGACTCCTCCTGCTGCGTTGAAACTTGGCACAGTGGCCTCAGACTCAGGAGTGTGAACTCCAGCCTCACGCTGTGTGTGATGAGTCTACATGTTCTCCACATGTCATGCAACTGGTATCTGTAAATTGCCCATAGTGTACTACTGTGTATAAACAGATGGGATTCAGAGCCTTCTGAGATGGATGGACAGGTGGATGGCTCTGTCATGTTGATGTGCTGATAGACTGGATGGCCCCTGACAGTGAGAATGAAGGCGTGCAGGGGGGGGGGGGGGGGGAGATTTTCAGGTTATTTTTTCAGGTGTAGATTTTCATCTTTCATCTCTGAAGAGACAGGTAAATAAAATAAACCCCCCTGTCTGGGGCCACTGTCCCTCTCATGACACTATCCTTAAAATGATAAAGGTGCCATGCGCTGAGCATTACACTGAGTCCACATGAATGAAGTGAGAACTTTCTGTTATACTATGGTGATTTTTTTGCTAAAACTGTAATAACACGTTGGTGGTACATATGGAGCTCTTCTTCTTTTCAATTTTTTTTCCATAAACACAAAATACTAAACTGAGCTCACAAAATCCCTAAGTTGTGTACATGATAATTTTTCTCTGTTCCCAATTTGATATTTTGAATCCTTCACTTAATTTTAAATTTAATTAAAGTTAACATTTTACTTATTTGTGTTCTTGTCTATAGAAAATGTGACTGGATAATCAGAAAATGGAATGAAGTGCATGAATATATGAAAATATGTTTCAGATCTTGCAGTCAACCCCCCTGAACCTATATCTTGATAAAATGTCTCCCATTCCAAATTTATTCTCCTGTATATTTTTCTAATGGACAAAATCTATGTTTTGTGGTCATTTAGTTACCATTTACTTATTTATGTGTCAGGTATTTTGTTATGAATTTGTCTTTAATTTTAATGAGTAGATTACACAGTTGTACCGTTTTGCTTTACATTACATTGCATCCCAAACACACAACAAAAGCCAGAACATTGTCAAAGCAGGAAAGCACACCCATAGATTCCTTTGCTGTCAGAGTTTTCAACCCCATCATCCTCTAATTGCCAGCTCCCAATTAGTTAAATAATTAACTTGACCTCAATCAGCATTTTCAGAATCTCATGGTCTTTCCATGTCATTGTGTCTAATACAGTATGTGGGCTTTTGGCAGTTTTTTGATTGCAGTCACAGATCTTTTTATAAAATTAAGGTTCCCCTTGTGGGGACGAAATAACCCCCACGCACTCAGACACACACATACGCACACACGCGCACACACACACAGCTGTTTCTGTGACTAGTGTTAATGTAATTAGGTCCACCGGATATATGCATATTCTTTCATATGCCATCACTGACTAGACCAAGCCAGGGGGGGTCACCCACAATACATTTTTCCATGAAAATACTGTAGTCGAGCAACAATATTATTAATACAAGCCTACCTTATGCACTCTCCCCACCTCTCCAAAAAACAACAAAAAAACATGGTAAGACTAAATTCTCCCACAATAAATTTTGGCAAGTTTCCTGCAATACATTTCACCGAACAGCTACCGGAGTGCTACTGATAAAAATTGCCGAATGCGGGGACTAGCAACAAAAAATTCACATAAACTTTATATTTTTGGGAAGATCTATCTCTAAATTTTATCATTTCCAATTCACGACCCTACAATGTGCCTGAAAAGTTAGAAAAAGCTGCTTCATTTTTGGCATTTTTGGGGCAATTTAACATAAAATGAAACTAGATCTTCATTCATATAATGTTTTTGTTAAGCAGTAACAAGACCCTTCAAATACTTTTTGACTACTTTTTCACATTCAAAAAGTAAAATGTTGTCTGCTTTCACCCTTCTCTTTGCTGCCACTAAGTAGGGTTTGAAAAAGTTTGAAAAAGATCCACAAAAACTTTTTGAATTACCATCTTAATGGCATCGAGTGTCAAAACTGCCTTTATTTTGTTACCACTATGCAACGCTTCCACTATCTCAAAATTTAATCTGTTCCAGCTAGTCACCCATACCATGCATCTGCATAGTTTGAAAAAGATCCAGCAAATGGTTTTTAAGTTATCGTCTTATCAAAGGGTCTGTGGCAGTGGTAGCGGCGGCCCAGTCCAAAAACAACATGTAATCTTCTAAATCCCAGTAATATAATTAGCACTGCCAGTCACTGTCATTTACTGTTATATCCTCCTGAGACCCCACCCACTCATTTATGTCCATTGTAGTGGACATGTTGTTTTTGCATCTATCTTTTCACTGATGTAAGGAAACGTATTTATTCCTGTTGTACACTAAAGAGGACATGCTGTGAAATTAAAAATAAAAATAAATTTGAAAAAATCTAAATTGTAAGATGCCTTATTTCCTCCAAAGACAAATAACCTAAAATTGAAGCACACTTTTTTCCTTGGGTCTCAGGAGGATATAGTTTGGCATCAGTAAGTCACCCCTCCCCCGCCTTCCTTACTGAAAAATCCCTCTTGGGGGCTAGCCGCTTGGGAAAGTGGCTGAAGGCGTACGGCTTGGTGCACGCGGGGTAGCGGTTGCGGTGGATCTTGTAGAAGAGGTGAGCTGACTTGTCCAGCCGGTAGTCGCAGATATAAACATCCTGCTCCTTCACACTCTTGGGCCGCCCTGCAGAGGAGGCAGCTGTGTGTTGGAGCATGTAGCCGTACGCGTTCCTGCATTAACGGTATTCTGCATTCTTGTGGGGTGTGACCGGCAGGGAAAGCAGTAAAGATTACGACATACTCTAACACTCACAAAGATGCCACCTCAGTGCAGATTACAAGATCAATAATACATTTCATTTCGATGGGGGGGAGATTCAGAGGTATGTGTATGTACTGTATATACATTCATTGGCCATTTTATTAGGTACACATTGCTAGTACTGAGTTTAACCCCCTTTTGCCTTCAGGACTGCCTTAATTCTTCATGGCGTAGATTCAGCATGGTGCTTGTAACATTCATCTTAGACTTTGGTTCATGTTGACATGACAGCATCACAGAGTTGCTCCAGATTTGTTGGCTGCCCCTTCATGATGCAAACCTCCCATTCCACCACCTCCCATAAGTGCTCCATTGCAGTGGTTCTCAACCCAGGGGACTGCAGGCCACTAGGGGGGCTCAGCAAGGACAGAGGGGGGGCACGTAATATACTTCAAAAGCATAGAAAAAAGTATAATATTGTAAAAGATATATTTTCAAAATGAAATGCAGGATGACACAATACCGTTTATATCAATACACACATACAATGCATTAAAATGAGGGCCTTATTAAGGATTTTTAAATAGAAACTAATAGTATTTCTTCCCGATTGTAAACAGTATGAGAGCTTTGGTTGTGACATTACATAGAATCCCAGAATTTACAGCTAAAATCAGGCCATTTCCTTAGCGGTGTCTCACAGGGAAAAGCGTGGAATCATTGATAGATGGCTATTTCATATTAAAACAATTCAAATAATAATTTACAATATTTGTTTTACAAATGCCTTAAAATGAGGATCTTTGCAGTTATTAAGTTTATGTTTTCTGCTTGTTAGGCTTCTGATGTTAGAGCCATTTGCTAAATAGGTTTTAGATTTAGTTATATTATCCATAAATATTCAAAATATTCACCTTCTGTTTTGAGAGCAATGGTATAGACTGAGAGAAAAAAAAAGTATTGGTGGATGCAGGGGCTTCATGGAATAAAAAACGTTGAGAACCACTGCTCTACTGGATTGAGATCTGGTGACCATGGAAGGCACTTGAGTACAGCATCATGTTTAAGAAACCAGTCTGAGATGATATGATCTTTGTGGATGTTATACTGCTGGAACCGGCCATTAGAAGCTGGGTACACTGGTCAAAATATCTTTGTCAACGAACCTTTTTGATGTGACGGAGACGAGACACAACGTAAATGCTGGTCATGTGATGATAATTATAACTAAATATATCGTATAATATTGTTGACGGATAAAAAGGAGACTGAATTTGGTTTACAAAATAAAAACTATACTAAAATGTCTCTTCATTTTCATTGATGAAAACGAGACGAGACGTTATTTCCTCTCATTTAATCGCGCTATTATTATTATGCAGTATTTCTGTTTCCTGTGTCTCCCATTCTGGCGCACAGATGGCGGAGAAATGCGGCCACAAAATATCGGGAAAAAACACCACAAACCTTAAAACCTTAAAAGACATCTCAAGGCATTCCACAATGACATTGAGGTAAGTGAAGACTTACCTCAATATTTTAGAAAGCTCATGCCAACTGTGGTTAACATGTTATCATTAGCAATAGATGTTTTCCTGCTAGTTGGACACTTGGCGATTTGTACAAAACATCTTTTTGATAAGATGCTTGATAAGAATACGTGGGTAAAGGGAACACTTTGAAGCTATGTAGGCATTTTAGCAAGCTAAAGCTAAGTAGTAAACTGAGAATGAGCTCAGTTGTCTTGAATCCTGGTGATCTAAACTTTCAAGCTTTCATTACTGCGTGACTAGATATATGTCTAAAGGGGTAGTGTTTGAAACATTTAAAGAGCGTTTTTCGGAACATCGTGCGTGGGTCTGGCTTGCCAGGCTAGTTACCATCCACGGAGAGGTAGGCTCTGGCTACAGCTCATGTAAATACCTGCTAATTGTGAAATAATGTTCTTGTGGAAAGGATGTTCGTGAATGATTCAGAGCATGATGCATTTTGGTTCAAAAATGTTTGGTTGGCAAAAAAATTTTTATAAATTCAAATCAGAGCGTCTTCCGTGTCTGGAATGGATTCAATGTATTCTTGAGTCTATAAGGTAACAATAAAATAATAATAAGAACCTTGTATTAATTGTGAAATGCGTTTGACTAAAAGAAATTTTTTTTTTTGTCTATTCTACTTGGTACTTGTACTATCTTGACTAGGTAAAATAGAATTGCATTACTAAAATAAAGAGACTAAAATACAATTTTCATTGACTAAAACTAGACTAAAATGTCATCAGTTTTCGTTGACTAAATCTAGACTAAATTAGTCATGAATAATTCTGACTAAAATATGACTAAAACGCCCAGACTTTTAGTCAACTGAAACTTGACTAGACTAAAATGAGTATGGACATGACTAAGACTAATAATAACTAAAATGACAGCTTGACGCAAAGACTAGACTAAAACGGAAATTAAGACAGGCTGCCAAAAACAACTATACATAAAGGGATGAACATAGTCAGCAGTAATACTCAGGTAGGCTGTGGCATTTAAAAGATGCTCAAGTGGTACTAAGGGGCCCTTAGTGTGCAAAGAAAATATCTCCCACACTATTACACGACCATTACCAGCCTGAACTGTTGACACAAGGCAGGATGGATCCATGCTTTAATGTTGTTTACACCAAATTCATTCAATCGAATTTTGGTGAGCCTGTGGCCACTATAACTTCATTCTCCTGTTCTTAGCTGACAGGAGAGACACCCAGTGTGGTCTTCTGCTGCTGTAGCCCATCTGCTTTAAAGTTTAATGTGTTGTGCATTCAGAGATGCTTTTCTGCATACCTTGGTTGTAATTAGGGGTTATTTGAATTAATGTTGCCTTTCTATCAGCTTGAACCAGTCCGGCCATTCTTCTCTGACCTCTGCTATCAACAAGGCATTTTCACCCAGAGAAACATTACTCACTGGATGTTTTTTTTCTTTTTCTGTCCATTCTCTGTAAACCCTAGAGATGGTTTGCATGAGAATTCCAGTAGATCAGCAATTTCTGAAATACTCATACCAGCCCGTCTGACACCAACAATTCTGCTACATTCACAGTCATGTCAATCACCTTTCCTCTCCATTTTGGCATTTGATGTGATGAAGGTCCTGACCTGTATCTGAACGATTTCATACATTGTGCTGCTGATATATGATTAGCTGATTAGATGTACCTGGTGTACCTAATAAAGTGGCCAGTGAGTGTACATATACTGCTAGTGGCAGAGCTCAGCAGCTGGGCCTCACCCTTGCAGTAGGTGTAGAGGTCGAGGACACAGCAGGTGCCCACCACTGCCTCTAGTGGGATGATCTCATACAGCGGAACCCGGAAGAGCTCGTTGTGGTAGAAGCGGCGTGAGGGCGAGTGGTGTGTCTCATGAGGCCGGAAGTAGTGGTGGCCAAACGCAAAGCGCTCACCACTAGTGGACAAAAAAGTGGAGAGGGAAGGGGAGGGCAAAGGGGCATATTTCAAGCATCATTTTCACCATGCCGTGCTACGTCTTAAATTGTTGACAGGCCCCATCCTGCAATGAGACATGAACTGTTTTGCCTGCAAACTGGCATTTACTCTTGGAAATATTAGACCAATACCAACTCAACTGGCGCCCTTTTCTCTTACTTCTCATTCTTCCAGAGCTTCTCGATGCGAAAGATATCCAGCTTGTCCCTGTTTATGTGAGACAGGAGGCGGTAGGACTGTCTGACCGGCTGACCATCCTGAGTGCGTCGACTGTCCCTCATCAGGTACACGCAATCACCTACGAAGGCGTCAGGCTTGGGAATTAGCATCGTCACTGACACACACAAACACACACACACACAGATACAGAGACAAACACATACACAAACAGGCACAGAGACACAAAAACACAGAAAGACACACACACAGACGCAAAGACAAACAGACACAGACGCAGACACACACACATACAGACACACAGGAGACACAGACAGAAAGACAGACATACATGCACACACAAACACACACAGACACAGAGAAAGACAAACAGATACAAAGACACAAAGAGAGCAGCCTCCAGCCCCACCCACCTTGGTGCAGCAGCAGGTCATCACGCAGCAAGCAGATGTAGTAGATGGATCCAGACTGGGCGTAGCTTGGTTGTGGCACCATGGGTACTTCCTGTAACAAAGCAGGCAGCATTTTGATGGGACTTGTTCAGAGACTGTCTCAAGAACGCTGTTGGGTATTGAGTGATAGGACTGCCATAATAATAATAATAATAATAATAATAATAATAATGATAATAATAATAAGAAGAAGAAGAAGAAGAAGAAGAAGAAGAAGAAGAAGAACAACAACAACATCAAATCTGTAAAAATTGAGTAGGAAAGTAAAACAAATAAAAATAAAAGAATAAGAAAATAAATGCTTTTCATTATTGCTTTTTCTATATTGCTTTTGTGTTTGTTTTCTTGAAGGGCCAAGCTGTCAATCAACTGGCTTTGGGTGGGCCATCCTACCACGACACACCCCCTGAGATGGACTGAGAGGCAAACATGCCACAACATAGCCAATTTTAGCGGGGACTGCAAAACAAATGATTCTCTGCTCAAATTAAAGGCGGCTGGACTCAACAGGGATCCAAACAACTTCCCAAAGGATCAGTGGACCATTAACATGGATATTATAAATAAATAATTATATTATATAATTATATGATTTTATTATATTATATATATTATATGATTTTACCCAAACATCCAACATAATTCACACAAAATGACTGCAAATCCACTTTTCGGAGCTCAGACTCCAGTTGTTTCTGTCTGCAAAAAAAGCTGCAATTTCTTGTTAAATCATTCTGAACAATCAATCTCACAGCAGATCCTTCTCATTTTAGATGTGTTTTCTGGGCATTCAAGCTGAATGCTAATTCTGCCACAGTTTTTTTGCCCCTCAGTGGGCATATTCCACCTACTGTGACATCATGTGCATACCCACTATTAACTACTCAGTCTGGGCAGGAAGCCCCCCAGAGCCAGCTGATTGACAGCTTGGCCCTTCAAAAAAAGCAAAAGCAATAGGGAAAAAGCAACACAGAAAAGCATTTATTTTCTTATTCTTTTATATATATTTTACTTTCTTACTCAATATTTATTTTTTTATTCTTTTAAAGATTTATTCTATTTAAGACACTCCATGACTCCATAGATGGGAACCCTTGGTGAGGTTATTAAAATATGCTTCATTAATTGTTCAAGGGCTATATGAGATTCTAACAAATTATTATTAAACTGTTATTAATTGTTATTAGCTTGAAATAGCAAAATTAAGTAAATCTGAAAGTAATTTTTTAATATTTCAATTATTCCTAACAGCAGTTTTATTTAACATGACTGGAACATTTAAGGAAGCCAGCTAACAAATCTGGTTTTAAGGGAACTTTAATTAAAATCTTTAAAATTTAAGCAATTGATTTAGTGTGTGGCTTAATCAGGCCTAATCAGAAAGCTATCAGAGCTGAAAGCTAACAAAAACGGTCAGGCACAGGCCCCAAGGCTAAGGAAACACTATTTTTACGATGAGCATGTGGGACATTCGTCAGTGAAATAAAAATGTTGGTACTCTGTTGACTGTGAGAAAGGCGACGGGAGTGTTGGGAACAACAGAAGCGCCTCAACAACACTGTCGGTACTGTGCCCGGTGCCCCGCCACTCTCGCATGACACTTGTCTCTGAGGAGCAGAGTACTGTATCTTTGTCTCTGGTGATTATATCTCAAAATGCTTTGGACAGTACATTCTGTGTGGCAAAGTTTACTATCTGAGCAAGTTTCATTTGCGTAGCACCAACACAGCCAGAATTCCAAAGGGGGTGCACCCCCCTTCATCTTTGTCTCAGATAACCTTATAATATTTTGATAACACACACACTGGACCTAAAGTTATCTGAGAAAGCTTCACAGATTTAGCTTCAGTGCAGCTAGACTTGAAAACGGTGCATACCCTTATACATAAGGACACACCCCCCTTCACCCCTGCATGTGTGTGGGTGTGGGTGAGTGTGTGGCTCAGTGGGCTAAGCCGTGTGCCAGTAATCACAAGGTCGCCGGTTCAAGCCCAGCCTCAGCACATCTGTGGGTCCTTGAGCAAGACCCTCAATCCCCAGCTCCCTGGGCGCCGCTACGGGTGGCTGCCCTTTGCGGACAAGTTGAGGGAGGCGTAAAAACAATTTCCCCACGGGGATCAATAAAGTATTAATTATGTTCCTGTCAGTTGATCTTCTCCTAATATGCTTTTCATAAATCTACACAATAGACCAACATCAATAAACAGTGCGAACTTTGTAAGGTACTAATAACAGAGTTATTGAGCCAGTTTATGAAATACGAAACAAGCTGCCGTAACATGCACCCCCCCCC